AAGTTGATTACAATACACTTTTTGTTTATTTAGGTAATATTATATCTTTCTTGAGTCTCCAAAGAGTTGAAAACAGATAATTATAGTTACAGTTTTCCTTAGTTATGACAAAGGATAAATTAGGTATGAAACTTTAGACTCACAAAGATAGGATAGATGATAGAGTATTTTCCTTAATTTGCCAAATGCAAATGGACTAAATATTGTAACTATGATTCTTGCTTGAAAACTGTTTTGCTTATGAATTTTTCTGTGCTAAAGTTAAAACCTTTCTTTTTATTTAGACAGAGGAGGAGATGATGTGGGATGCCCTTCTGTATATGTGCTGCTTTTATTGGATAATAAATAAATCTATTTTGGCCAATGGCTTAGGAGAGTAAAGGCAGGCAGGAAGTCTGAACAGATATATATATGGTAGAGTCACAGACAAGCCATGTAGCGGCCAAAGGAAAAGGCCATCAGAACCTTTCTGGTAGAACACAGCCTTGTGGTAATATGCAGATTAATAGATATGGGTTAATTTAAGATGTAAGAGCTAGCTACTAAATGCCTAGGCTATTGGCCAAGCAGTGCTGTAATTAATATAGTTTCTGTGTGATTATTTGAGTCTGTGTGACAAGGAAACGAAAAAGCAGTATCCATTTACAGCAAACCTCTAGGCATATCTGGAAAGGTGTTTCCAGAGGGGTTGAACTGGGGAGGGAAGATCCACACCAAATGTGAGCAACATCATCTGATGAGCTGTGGTTCTGGACCCAATAAAGAGATAATGGAGAGAGATGAGTACTGCTTTCGTGGTGCTCTGTTTCCTGACTGCAGAGACAATGTGACCAGCTATTTCACACTTCCACTGCCATGCATTACCATGATGGACAGCATTCCCTCAGTCCCTGGGTCAATAAACCTTCCTTGTTCAAGTTGTTTTGTGTGTTGTGACAGCATCAAGAAAATTAGCAAATATATAGTATAAATCATGCTTGAAGAACCAGGAAAATACCAGATTTCACCCTTCTTCATGCTGGACTGATTGAAAATGCCAAATTCTAGAAAACTACAACTTGTTCAAATGTTATACATGGAGACAATTTCAAAAGTTGATCTTTAAAATAAACCATTGGTAACACTTTTATAATTCCTACAATATAGCAAGACATTAAAAGTCATTTATCATGTTGATTTCAACCCATACTTAAATATTCAATGGCAGGAGCCAGAGGCTGCTAAAGACGAAAATAGACACTAGCTGGTGTGCCAATGTGGGGCAGCTACAGCCAAGTAACACTGGAGAAAGCTTGGAAAGGAATTCTAGGCACAAAAGAACAGAGTTTAGCAGTTTCTTGGAAGCCACATTTTTTTTTTTCAGATGAGCTCTGTTTGCTGGCAGTGAGCAGAGATGCCACAGCTCCTTTAAGAAAAGGGTTACTGACTCAACATAAGAAATGGTAGGTGGCTTCTGGGTTTGGGCAGCACAAACTCTGGCTCTTTAGGAGGCTGAGCACTTGAATGGGACTTGTGGGCAGAATGCTGCAAGTTACTTGGTAGCAGCATGGGCCAACTGGTTACCAGGGTTGAGGTGGTAAGGATGGCTTCCACCTGGCAGTCTCAGAGGAAGTAAATGGACCCCCACCAAGTTGGACTGAGTGGAGCCAAAAGACAAAGCAGCATTAGTCCTAGCCACACCGCTTAGCATTTTAAGAAGTGGTCCTGGTCAGAAAACCATTACAGATACACAATAAAAAGAGATGTAGCCAGGTGGTGGTGGCACACGCCTTTAATCCCAGCACTCTGGAGGCAGAAACAGGCGGATCTCTGTGAGTTTGAGGCCAGCCTGGTCTACAAGAGCTAGTTCCAGGACAGGAACCAAAAGCTACGGAGAAACCCTGTCTCGAAAATCAAAGAGAGAGAGAGAGAGAGAGAGAGAGAGAGAGAGAGAGATTCAGATGAAAAAGACCCCTGAATGGGTCACAGTGTTGGATAAATGTACATAGACTTGGGAGAGAGTAAAAGAGTATAGAGAGTTATAAAAAGAAGTAAATTGTTTAAAAAAAACCCAAAGTCTTTAAAGAGACAGACTACAATCATAGATTAAAGAAGAAAAGAAAAATAAGCCACGTAAAGATGGAATATACAGAGAGCATCTTGATTATATATATTATTGTGTTTTCTTTTAATTTTTTGTCTGTGAATGAGGTAAGTACAGAGAGACATTTCATTGTACAGGCTGCTAAGAAAAAGCAACATACATATTTTAAAGGTAGCTTGACTTCAAAATTTGGGTCTAAAAATATGTTGCTTTAGAAAAGAAGTTCAGTTTTCGTTTCCAGAGGATGAGAACCTGTGGATTCCTTCCAGAGTAATGTGGTTTGATAAACCAAGACACTCTGAAAGGTCTCCATAAAGCCCCCCAAATACTTAGCCTAACAAAAAGCAGGAAACAATTTGGAGAGAACTACATCCAGATTCCCTAATCAATTGTTTATAAATGCTTGTTTACATTTAAAGGGGGATATGATTTAGAGAGGAATATTTTGCATTGGTATGGATCTTGGTTTATTGATACAAATTTAAGGTCAATTATGTTATATGTATTTCTGTTCTTGTTTAAGGTATTATGTTTGTGCAGCTCATTTTAAAAATGTAGTGTATAATTAAGATATACATATTAATTGATAGTCATTTAGAATAGTCAAACTTGTAGTCATGTGAGTTAGGTTTTCTAGACGTACAGAGATATATTTCAGATGAATAGTTATTCTTCAAACCTTTCAAAGAGTAATTGAATATGGCATTTAAAATGGTTAAGAACTTGGGACTTTACATGACAATGAGACACATCTGTTCCTGGCAGCACCAATCTACTTTAAGAGGATGATGGGCATCCAAGAGGCTCTTTATGGAGTTTCTTAGCCATTTGGGTAGGAAACTGCTATTGCCTAGACTGTTTGATGGTATGCTGTATGAACTGGACACTCAGGACCCACAGAAAAATGATTGCTGAAGTTGCCTAAAGAAGGTGAGGCAATCCTTGAGGGTCCCGCTTCATGACAGAGTCTGCCAGCCATCCTGCAGTACACAGAAGAAAGTGACTGACAAACTGCCAATATAGGTGGAACTATCTTTGAAATTTCCTACTTCATGGAAAAGTCTGTCAGATACTATGGGCCTGCAGGCTGAAGATGGGTGCTTCAATATTACAGAAGAACTTTGGGTGACTAACCAGGCAGCAAGATGTCTTTATCAATTATAGAGTTTTGGGAGTTGCTTACAATGCACTTCCTGTTTACTTGGTAATATTACATCCTTCTTGAGTCTTTTTTTCATGGAGTTGATGAACAGTTATAATTATAGTTTTCCTTAGTTATGATAAAAGATAAAGTAGATATAAATATTGTAACTGTAAACCTTGGTTGATAACTGTTTTGTTGTATGTAATATTACTATGTTAAAGTAAAAACCTTCCTTTTTATTTAGACAGAAAAGGGGAGGTGATGTAGGATTCCCCCTCTGTATGCTATGAATACCATTGTTTAATAAAGAAGCTGCTTTGGGCCTATTGCAGTGCAGAATAGAGTGAGGCGGGAATTCCAAGCCGATAGAGGAGGAGAAAGCAGGTGGAGTCAAAGAGAAGCCATGGAGCTGCAGCAGGAGACAGACGCTGGACTAAACCTTACTGGTAGGCCACAAACACGTGGTGATTCACAGATTAATAGAAGATGTTAGAACTAGCTAGAAATATGCTTAAGCTATTGACCAAACAGTATTGCAATTAATACAGTTTCTGTGTGATTATTTCAGGTCTGGGCAGCCGGGAACAAACAAGCAGCCTCCGCCTACATACTAGGACAGACACTTGATCTTCCAGAGCAAAGACCTTCTTGGGTACATCATTTGTTTTATATTCCTTCCATGTTACCTCCCTTTCTTTCTCTCTCTCTCTCTCTCTCTCTCTCTCTCTCTCTCTCTCTCTCTCTCGTGTGTGTGTGTGTGTGTGTGTAGAGAAAGAGAGACTAGGAATCAACTTTAGGTGTCATTGTTCTTCAGTTTCTAATCACCTTGTTTTTGAGACAAGGTCTCTCACTGAAACAGGAGTTTGACAATTTTGCTTGGCTGATGGCTAGCTAGCTCCAGGGACCAATCTGTCTCAGACTCCACAGCACAGAGATTATAAATACATGTCACCACACCTAGCTTGTTTTGTGGAGGTCCTAGGGATCAAACTCAGGCCCAAAGCTTGCATGACAAGCATTTGTCAACTGAACCACCATCCCAGCCTAACTTCAGTTCTGACTAACTTTAAACTGCAACAAATAGAAAACAGATTAATCCAAAATGGATACTGTAAGAGAGGATCAAGCAATGGTATCAAGAATTTTCCAGAGTTTACAGGGTCTGAGCAAAATTATAGGTGACAAGGGTACCATTAATGTGAACTATTTTGAATGAGAAGATCCATTTGTTTTAAGTTTCTAGCTTCTGACTACTGATTCTGGAGGGCTCTTCAAAGAAGCCAAAGAAAATACCGTCTTTCCTTCAGCAGGCATTTATTTGGCATGTGAATTATTGTTTATTTTCATTTTGTAGCATTTCTAAAACAGTCATCATCTTGAAGAATTCAACTTTTCTCAGTAGAGAAGTCCTGACCAAGGTCAGTGGGGACATACTGCCACTGAGACTGTGGTATGCATTAAAGAGTCATTTTTACATAATCTACCCTATTCACCTTCTCTGCAACATCTGAATACTTTATCTGGATCTGAAGTGATTATTATTGTTGTTTTTTATAATCTTACCTGGGGCTGGGAGTGTAGCTCAATTTTAGAGCAAAACCCTGTGAGTTCAAAGAAAATGGGATGGGGGGGATCTAAGGAGGAACCAGTGATGGGACGTTTCTATGATTAGCAGTTTCTTGCTTCATATAAAGTACAGAGCAGATATGACGGCATGTTCTAAAATCAGCCTAGCCTGTGGCTATGCACAGATTTGAACATTTTATTACTTACAGCTCCTCCCCCTGTTTGGCTTTCTTGTCTGACACCAGATAGACAGTTCCAAAACTTCCACTGCCAAGTTTCTGCTGAAGAACATATCTTCTTGCAATCAAGGGAGCTGGATGCTTGGAAGTGGCTGTGCACCCTCTTGCACACTTAGTCTCTTGGAATTTCAGCATTGCTCCAAGCAAGTTAAAACTGGCTTGTTTATCCACAGAAACAGTCAGGCCTCCCAGCTAGTGGTCAAAGAGTCAAGCAGGAAGTGGCGACTGATGCCGGAAATATGGAAAATCCACAGATCATGTCTAAAGGCAGCTATAAGATTCCTACAAAAAAAGTATAAGCTTTTGAAAATGATACCTGCACCATACCTTGTGTTATCACACCAGTTAGCGTGTGTGTGTGTGTGTGTGTGTGTGTGTGTGTTGTGGTGAAAATGCTGCAAACTCTTTCTTATAAAGACAGCCTTACTTGGATTTACAGTCAAAACTTTACTGACTTCTGAGATGTGTATACTTCCCATCAATGTAAAGAGATTATCCAAACACAGGACCATATCTTCCCTTAATGCACAGATTGTATCAACTTTCTTGTGGTGATTTCTCCCTTCTATGTCTAATCTGGTTTAAACCAGGAATTAGCATAGTCTGCTTTCCTTTGCATTTCTTCCATGTAGACTAAAGTAAATCACAGAGTTTTTTTTAGTTTATTAGACTAGATATGTGAAGGAATATTAATTTGGAGTGGGTTTTTTCTCCCTTTCATCCTAAGCAAAGTTTGATTCTGTTTTTATTATACTGGGTGCAGTTATCTCCTTGGATTAGAAGTCACAAAATACAACTCGAACCTAAAGCTGCGTTTTAAAAGTAGCTGAATATGAATAGAATATATTATCGGTAAAACCATAATTCCTCAATATATATATTCCTTGAAATATACAGCAGTGATGAACAGCAGAACCGTTTCATGAGAAGATATTCCACAGAACATACCCTTGTTCCATCCAAGTGTTAAATGTTTTCTTGAAAATTTTGCTTTGTTTTAAATTTGTATGAAAATGATTTTATGCTGAATACTATGTATTGGCCTTAGGTTTTCATATTCAACAATTCTAAAGTATCAAGAAAATGTACTGTTATTAATGATGACCTCTATCTAGGCTTGGCATTAACCACAAAACCTACCAGGGCAATCAAACACGAAAATTTGCAAAACAGAAGCATAAGGCCCAGTTGTAATTCTGTCTTCTTTAAAGAATATACTAATCTGCTGTTTCACCCAGTTCCAGTGACAGCGATACCCCTCCTCATGGAAATGTTAGAAAAATCTACAGCACCTACAGTGTAGGCCTCTAAAAGGTACCTTGTTTGCTTTTTGATTGCCACAAAAGTGGTCATTTCTAGATAAAATTAAGCCGTTTGGAAAAGTGTATGGCGTAACCACAGCCTTTCAGATCACTAATAATTTTCCTTATTGTGGAGAGGAGATTAAAGTTTAGTGAAGGCCCTAACGCAAGATGGAGTTCTATAGCTTCTATCTGTAATGGAGAAGTAAACCCGGCAGTGTGTAAGCAGCCCCTCCAGGCTAATCTCACAGACTCAACTCTGTCACTCTCATCCCTGTCCATAACCACAGAATGTACATATAGGGCAGCGTGGATCTGAAACTAGGGCGGTGGATGAACTTGGGTGATGGGAACAAATGTTATCGTTGTATCCCTGGTGTCTCGCTAACAGCTAATATACAGTTATCAGTAAACGTTTGGAGAGCAAAGAAGGGTTTAGAAAACCAACTGTGGTCCAAAGACAAAAAAAAAAAAAAAAAAAGCAGGATGGGAACTCGGAGAAAGCAGAGAGATGCCCACTTTGTGCTAACCATTCCTAAGAAAAAAAACCCATCCCACTGGGACAGGGCAAGGAAAAGGCAAGTGTTGACCGCGGTGGGGACCGAGTGGTTTATGCCCACATAACAGGCATTAGGAAGCGGTCCTGACCTGGTTCTGCTAAATCTGACCGGAGAGGTAAACGCTAACTCTGAGGTAAAAGGAACAACTTCCTGTCTCTTCAACAAATAAACCCTGATTTTCGCAAAGCAGGTAAAAGTATATAGAGGGGCTGAGCGCTTATTCTTCCGAGGGGAAATAGGGTCCGGGGGCTGCGGGGCCCGGCTGCCCGAGCTCCACTTTTGTTACCTTTCCCGGTCCCTGACCGGCGACCGGCCACACCTCAGTCTAAAGCTTCTTTGCCTCGGCGGGCGTGGTTGTTTGACGCCGTCGCCACGGAGACGGCGCGGGGGCTGCTGGGAAGTCGGGATTGGGCCGCCAGGCCCGCGGAAGGGTGTGCAACCCTACGAGGCGGCGGGAAGGGTCGGGGCGAGGCGGGCAGAGAATCCCTGAGGAAAAGGTCGTTCTCGTGAGACAAACACCTCATCCTACACCAAGTTACCGCCACTGGCCCGAAAACACTTTCCCTACCAGCAGCGCCCTCAGCTTCTCTGAGCCAGGCTTCCCAGTGACGTCCAGGTACTTCCGGTTTCCGCTCGTAGTCTTCAACTCACCTGTGGGCCTGCCAGGCCACCCTGGGCTGCTGATGAAGGAAGTGGGGGGCCAGGAGGAAGCAGCAGGTGGGTCGAGGGCTGAGATGGCTTGGGGTAGGAGGTCTGTGTATGAGCAATTAGATCCTACGTCTTTTGCGCACCTTTGCCCTACCCGGCTTGCATTTGTTGAGCAAATGCAAGGTCATGTCATTAGCTCACATTAGTCGTGAGTTTGCAGAAACCACACGACAGACCGGGAAAGAAATGACTGTTCAGTGCAGAGGTGTCGACTGAGGTGGATCTGAAGTGAGGTGAAATGTAGGCAGATGCCAAAACCAAAAAATTCTGGGTGATGAATTTTTACGTAGCATCTCTAAAAATCAAAGTGCAAGAATTCTAAGACTGAAAAAACATTTCACAATTTTAAAGAAAGGCAAGGCTGGTAATAGTGCCACACTAAGCTAGAGGGAAAATCAGTAGCACCAACCAGTCCTATGAGTCGTTAGCCAGAGATAGGCCAGATACTGATGTAAATAATTGGGGCTAAAATTGGATAGTTGGGGTTTTAGAAGCATAAAGCTGTTGCTTTTTCTTACCCCAAACTGCATCTAATGGCCCCACACTCAAGACCTGTAAGAAGGGTCCATAAGAAAAACTGGATCCTTATGTGCCCAACACTTGAGATTTAAGACATTGATAAGGATGTCATTTTTATAGGTTAGGACTTTTTACCTTGACCCTCACCAAACAGATACTCCACCTTATAAAATGGAAACATAATACCAGTAGCAGAATCCATAGAATTCCTGTTGATGTGACCATGCTGTTCCAGTGAGGCCAGGAGTAGCCTCCACCATTAACCAAAGATCAAACCCCATGAAATGATTGGGTTTTTGCCTTGTGAATGCTCAGCTAGACATGCTGACGGCCAATATAGTTTATCCGAAGAGCAGGTCTCATTTTCTCCTGAGGCGATGATCTGGTGCCACTGAGAGCATTGTGCTAGTCAGGATTCTCTAGAGAAACAGAACTGATGTCTACACACACATGCACACAGGGCTTATCAGAGTGACTTAAAGTCAGTGGCCCAGCTATTCTAGCAGTGGCAACGAAAAGCCCAAGAATGCAGTAGTTGTTCAGTCCATGAGACTGCATATCTCAGCTGCTCTTCAGTGCCCTCCAGAATGCTGAAGAAGTCGGCTCTAATGCCAGGCAAGGAATGAACTTGCCAGGGAGAGTTAGCAACCAGGAATGGCCTTCGGAAGCACCGTCCACTGAAATTGTTTTTTTTCTCGTTTCCCAGGCAGCTGTCAGTCATCATGGGCATCAGAGGACTCATGAGTTTTGTGGAAGATTACAGTAATGAGTTCTTCACTGATCTGAAACTGAGGGACACAAAAATTATCATCGATGGCTATTCTCTTTTCCATCGACTTTGCTTCAACTCAAACTTGGAACTCCGGTATGGAGGGGACTATGATTTATTTGCAGACGTTGTACAGAGATTCTTTGAGTCACTGTTTGCTTGTCATATCTGTCCCTATGTTGTATTAGATGGAGGATGTGACATTTCAGATAAGAAGCTTACAACTCTGAAGGCTCGAGCTAGAGAGAAGATCCAGGCGGCCCATTCCCTTTCTGTCGGCGGGGGTGGGAATGTGTGTCCCTTACTCATCCGAGAAGTGTTTATACAGGTTTTGATCAGGCTTAAGGTATGTTTTGTTCAGAGCTTCTCGGAAGCAGATCGGGACATCATGACACTTGCCAATCACTGGAATTGCCCTGTGCTGTCATCAGATAGTGACTTTTGCATTTTTGACCTGAGAAGTGGGTTTTGCCCACTGAATAGTTTTCAGTGGAGAAATCTGAACACTGTTAAGAATACACAGGATTACTATATTCCTGCCAAATGCTTTTCCCTCGATGCATTCTGCCGTTACTTCAGCAATATGAACAAGACTCTACTACCTCTCTTTGCGGTGCTGTGTGGAAATGACCACATTAATCTGCCCATCATAGAGACACTCATCAGCAAAGCACGGCTTCCTCTTAGTTCTAAGGGGAGGAGATACCACCGAGTTCTGGGACTTCTGAACTGGTTGTCTCACTTTGATGACCCCGCTGAAGCACTGGAGAATGTCCTGAAGCATCTCCCCAGAAAGGGCCGAGAAGATGTTAAGGAACATCTCTGCACTTCCATGGAGGAGTACCAGCCATCCCAGGTGAAGCTGCAGGACTTCTTCTACTATGGAACTTATGCCTGTCCAGACGCTTTGAATCTGGGCTTGCCAGAGTGGGTACTAGTAGCCTTAGCCAAAGGCCAGCTACCACCTTTCATCAGTGATGCTCTGGTGCTTCAGAGGACCTTTCTTCACACACAGGTAGAAAACATGCAGAGACCAAATGCCCACAGAATAGCTCAGCCCATCCGGCAATTCATCTATGGGCTTCTTTTGAATACCTCATCACATCCAGAAGGTATTTCCCAGAATGCAGCTCCTTCTCAGCCTCCAGCTTTCAACGAAGTGGAAAGAATTGATAAAAATATCAAAACATCGGTTGTTTATGCAAAACAACTGCTCAAGAATCATTCTGACTTGAGCAAATTGACTGAGGTAAGTTTGTAAAACTAATACAATTCTTA